CTCTTTCTGCTGCCCTCTTCGGCTTAAAACTCCTAAACCCTCAGGCTGGGCCTGAGCAGAAAAGTGCTTTACAGCCAGAGGCCTTTTTTGGTACCATTATCTATCACATGTGGGCACTCGTTTATTGAGCACTTATTATATTCTGGGCCTCCTGTGGTACAGTCTCCAGACTCAACCAGGAGTGGATCCAACAATGACTGCTTTCTTTGCACCCATTTCTTTCCACCCATTCCCAGGCATTCATCTTCAGATGCTACCTCATCCCCGAAGCCCTTCCTGAGAGCCTGGCTGCTCTGTCTTTCAGAACTGAGTGGTAGAGGGCCAACCATGAGCCAAAAAGCCCAGTGAGAGCTTAAGGCCCTGAGTTCAAGCCTCAGTACTGATACAAAAAGAAAGGAATAAAGGAAAATCTTGCCTCAGCCCTTCAAGTGCGGGGTTACAGGTGTGTGCCATCAGTGCTCTGGCAAGAATGTCAATTTTTTTCGGGGGGGGGGGAAGGGGTACTGTTCCTGAGCCTTGAACTCAAGGCCTGGATGTTGTCCCTGAGCTTTTTTGCTCGAGGCTCTCTACCACTTGAGCCACACAGCTCTACTTCTGGCTTTTTTTTTGGTAGTTAATCGGAATAAAAGTCTCATGGACTTTACTGCTTGGGCTGGCTTTGAACCACAATCCTCAGATCTCAACCTCCTGAATAGCCAGGATTACAGGTGTGAATCACTAGCAACCAACTCAAGAATGTCAATCTTGAGATGCTGCTTTCTGCTGCTCTTCGCCCTCCTATGCAGTTTGTCTACAGCCTATTACCTCCAACACCCCATGCGCTCTGATGCCCTTTCTGCAACTGCTCTCTGGATATACCTCCACTTCCATACCCTCCTTGCTAATGTCCAGCCCTCCATTCCCAATATCCAACTCCTCAATCTCTAATCTTGCCAGTTCCCTGCACCTCTCCAAGAACCCTTATCCATCCCCACAGACACTGAGTTCCACTGTATTCTCACTGAATTATGAACCTATAGGGCAGAGGCCAAGCTTTCTTTTCTATCTGCAGTGCCTAGTACAGGAATGGACATAATTAGAACCAACTGAAATGTTTCTCTGAACAAGGAATATAATTAGTGGAGGTTACAATTGCATACAATTTTCTTCCCATAGAAGTATTTAAGGTTAAAACAAAAAACAAAAACACAAAGTTTTAGCCGGGCGCTGGTGGCTCACTCCTGTAATCCTAGCTACTCAGGAGGCTGAGATCTGAGGATCACGGTTCAAAGCCAGCCCGGGCAGGAAAGACTGTGAGACTCCTATCTCCATTAACCACCAGAAAACCAGAAGTGGCGCTGTGGCTCAAGTGGTAGAGCGCTCGCCTTGAGCTGAAGAGCTGAGGGACAGCGCCCAGGCCCAGAGTTCAAGCTCCATGACCAACCAAAAAAAAAAAAAAAAAAAAAGAAGTATTTAAGGTTAGGGCTGGGAATGTGGCTTAGTGGTAAAAGTGCTTGCCTTGTGTGCATAAAGCCCTGGGATCGATTCCTCAATACCACATAAACAGAAAAAAACTGGAAATAGTGCTGTGGCTCGAGTGTTAAGAGTGCTAGCCTTGAGCAAAAAGAAGCTCAGGGACAGTGCCCAGGTCCTGAGTTTAAGCCCCAGGACTGGTTAAAAAAAAAAAAAAGTATTTAAGTTTGGCAGTGCTCTCTGAACTGAGCCAGAAAGGTCCTATTAAGGTCCCACTGACTCCCGTTTTCTAGGGAGGAAGACGTCCCCAGTGGGGAAGCTGTGACCCCTGTACTCCTGGAAGCTTAATCTTCTGTCCAGTAGAAACACATAGTAAAGGACACAGAAAGATTTCAATGTGTTCTTTTGGGTATAATTCAAACATATAGAGGTAACTTAGCCTAATTAGGTAAAATTAGGCAAAGATCTCCGAAGCTACTTTAGAACCTTAAATGTGCAGATGGTATATACACATACATTTAGACTCCTCCTTCTCTTGAGAAAGGGTTTCGCAATGGAGTCCAAGGTGGCCTTAATTTTTCAATCCTCCTGCCTTAGCTTCCTCAGCGCTAGAATTATATGTACCATCATGCCTGACTAAAGAGTGTTTTTCTTCTTTTTGGTGCTGAGCATGGAACCCAGGGTTTTGTGCCTACCAGGCAAAGTCTAAAGCACCAAGTTAACTCCAGCCCACTAGAAGATCCTTTTGTTTTTGTCTTTTCTTTTTCTTTTGGCACTGGGGACTGGACCCAGCCAGCATGTTGCACTTGCTAGGCAAGCGCTTTACCACTGAGCTACATTCCAGCCCTAGAAGGTGCTTTTGTAATTGCACATCACAATATGAAATTTCCACTTGTGATCAGGCAGTGTAAGACTGAGAGACTGATATGTAACGGATGTGAACCAAGCATGATGGGAATGACGGTGCTGCGGTGGGGTCCTAGTATTTATAGAACACAACCTTGCAAAAGGGCTTCTTTTGAATTGGCAGCCAAGTGCCACTAAGGAATTCTTATATGGAATTTGCTTTGGTATGGTGTGATGGCAGGCCTGGGTTCTTAGGGGCATTGCTTTTCCTGGAGAGAGTGTGGACAGGCTGTGTTCTGCTGCGCAGTGAGCAGGGCACGTTTTATGGATGTATATCAAGGCAGAACTAGGTCTGAGGCAGATGCCCAAAGACCCCTAAATGCATGGCACCACCAGTGTGTGGGGTTATTATTTTCTGGAAAAAGAGGAACATTAGGATTGGAGGTCCCAGCATGTTTTGCTCTTCCCTGACTCCCCATGAGGACAAGTACTTCAGGCCAGACAGCTCAGAATAGTCAATGGGCCTAAGGGTACCCCAGGAAGCAAAGCCTGTGCAGGCAAATCTAGGGCCCACCAAAGACACAATGTCCTGGTCAAGGCCTCATCAAGGAGTATCCAAGGAATGGAGAAGTGTGATCTGGATCACTCCCTAGACATCCCTAACTTTGACTATGGAGCTTTAGGTCTCAGGGAAAAGAGAGCTATCTGTAGTGTTTCATTTCCAGTTCTCACTTCTAGGGATTGAAACTGCCTGAGCAGCTTGTTTTTCTTGTGCCAGTTATGGGGTTTGAACCTTGGACCTGGGGGCTGTTCCTGAGCTTTCATGTTCAAGATAAGCGCTCTATCACTTGAGACACAGCTCCATTTCTGGCTATTATCATTATCATTGTTAATTATAGATAAGAGTATAAGAGTCTCATGGGAGCCTGGTAATGGTGGCTGAAGCCTATAATCCTATCTACTCAGGAGGCTGAGGTCTGAGGATCATAGCTCAAAGCCAGCCAGGGGAAGGAAACTCTGTGAGACTCTTTATTTCCAATTAACAACTACAAAACTGGAAATGGTGGTGTTGCTCAAAGTGGTAGAGTGTAAGCCTTGAGCAAAAAGAGCTCAGGAACAGTGCCTAGACCCCAAGTTTACGTCTTATGACTGACAAAAAAGTCTCATGTGCTTTTCTGCCTGGGCTGGCTTCAAACTGCAATCCTCAGATCTCAGCCTCCTGAGTAGCTAGGTTACAGGTATGAGCCACTGGTGCCTGGCCCTGAGAGGCTTGTATAAACACTCTTTCTCTCCCAGAATTCCAACCCTGGAGTTCAATGGCACCTTGCTCTGTCCTGCAGGTCTATTTTGTTTCACTGTCATTTTCCTGAAGACAGCTGCGTCCTGCCCAGTAGGTTGTAGAGGATTCCTTCCCCACTAGGAGTGGGAGGCCGGTCTGTATCATGGGCCAATGAAATACAGAATGTCTCAGGGGTGTGGCTTCCAGTGTTCACACACAGCGCCTTCCAACGTGGCACAGGGGAAGGAACTTAGGCTACTGAGAACTGTGCAGACCTGTGCGCGTGCTGGTGGCCCTGAGGGGGGTCGGTGGACAGCATGTCTGACAGCTTACTTGAAAATGCGTCATCCTACCCCACCGAGCCATTCTGCAGTTGTGGCATGCCTTAAAAAAGTGTCTTGCAAAAATCAGTTTCCTTTTAGTTTAGAGAGGCTCTGGAAATAGATCTTTCCCATTAGGAAGAGGGGAGGAGGAGATGAGCCAACAACTTCCTCAAAAGAACAGAAGTGGCCTTAGTGTTTCAGGGAGGAAGAGCTGCGTGTGAAGAAATGAACTCCTTACATTTTAGAGCAGATTGAATTTACATTTTACTTAAAAAAAAAGGGGGGTGGTGGTGGAGGTACATACATGAAAGGAAGAGGGGGGTGACGATGTGAAGTGGGTTCCAGGACCCTCCCTGCAGTGGCGGTGGCATCTGCTGGCGGCATGCCGCTCACACAGGAACAAGGCTGGAACCAAGGGCACCCCGGGCTTCGGGCCAGATGGAAAGGGGAGTCGTTATCATACACATGGAAGTTTACAATACACAGCATTTGTCTGTAAAGGATGTAACGCAGTCGCAGGAAGAATTAACAATACTAACAGGAGAATAATCAAATTTTTGTTTGTTATCCATGTACAGCAACTAACTGCTTTACAAAAAAAGCAAAATAATACAATATATCATCACATGTATTTACAGTGTAGTAAATATACTTTTCTGTCAAATTTTACACAAACTATTTACAGGTGAATATACTGCATTAAAAAAAAACTGTGGCAGACACTAAGTGAACTTTTGTACAAGTCCATTGCATAAGAATAAGTCATGCCTCATTATGCTGGGGAGAAATGGAGAAATAAAAACAAACCCCTGCCCCCAAAGAAACAAAACAAAACAAACCCAGACTCCCAAAGAAATGGAAAAACCTATAAACCCAAAGCAGCGCTGGCTCACACTGTCCTCAACCAGGACTTGCACCCACGGGGTGAAGGCTGCCGGTGATGTCCTGCTGCCTGCGACGGATGACGCAGACAGGATCTGCATGGTGGCAAGCTCGGCTAGCCCCGGGAGGGGAGCACTGGCCCAGAAGACCAAAGAGGCCAATTACACATCGCACAAATAGGACTGAGTTATTGTTTTCTTCTTGAAAAAGCCGGGGGGGGGCTGGGGTGGGGAACATTTACAAACCCAAAATAAATGACAGAACTTACATCAAATTAGGCAAATGGGCCACTTCTTCAGAACTTCAGGATTTCTTTTGTAAGTGACAAGTAACAGGACTAAACAAGTGTCATTTCTCTGGGGAAGCCTATTGGTCAGATATAATCTCATGTTGGTTTTAGTTACTTGGACTTTCCTTAAAAGTCAGAAGTTCTTTAAATAAGGTGAAATTTAAATCTTAGTTAACGTTTCAAATTCCCAGGATGGACTGGCCAAAAGTATTTTTGCAGTTCAAAGAAGGCTCCATTTTGATTTGTGCAACGCGGATCACTTTCTGAGGTACTTCAAGTGGATTCATCCTATTCATTACGCTAGAGGGAAATAATAAATTTAAGAAACATCGTATGTTCGTAAACTTGTTTATGGAAAGATCAGTATTTCTAACAGTAAACCTTTGGAAGTTTCTCTATTTGATGGGAGAAGCAAGACAGCATAACACCCACCATTGTATGCACCAAATCAACAGAGAGGAAAAACAGCCAACCACAATTATTAAAGGCTTGTGCTGCCTTCTGTACCAGGAGCGAGGTGACACCACAGGCAGGAGCTCCGCAGTCCAGGCCGTGCGGGAGCGGGTGTCCTTGGCTCTGCGTTGCTTTTCTGTTTCTTAGTTCTGATTTTGGCTTCTTTATATCTTACTTGCTCTGTTATTTTATATATCTTACACAAATACAGCCTCAATATAAGTTAAAAAAAAAAAGCATTTGTTACCTGCATGTCTTCTATATTTTCCAACAATTCTATATTAAAATGACTATTAATACTAGGGTTTTTATTTTTTTAACTTTTTTTTTTGGCAAATGGTTCTTTTCCCCAGGACTGTAAACAAATTAAAAAAATTAAATTCTTGTTATTTCTGAATATCAAAAGCAATTTTATTTACATTAACATATTACATTGTTACTGTGTGGATAAGTGTGAGATATTATTAAAATCAGAACACTTAAATGTACCATTATGTATTGAGTTAGCTGTGGAATTTAATTTACTGAAACCCACTAATGAACTAGCACTATAAGAACTCCCCATCTCCCCTGATTTCTTTTCTGACTCTCTTAAAGCCATGTCGTAACATATAAAGGGAATGTAGGAATGTGAAGATAATACATTTTGTAATAAATACAGTCTAGTCCTACACTGGAGAATCCAGATACCAGTAGGCTCACTGAAATGAAATAATTTTGCACTGCAGTTCTACAAATACACTGGGTCCACATAATTCTGGAACTGCCTATGCCATGAGATCTCATCCCATTCAGTAAAGAGCAGCTCTAGAGGCCCCCAGGGACGCACCACTGCAGGCTCATCAGGATTTTCACAGTGATCAAGTGCGATCCTGGCATACAGAACCCAAGTGCTTTGCTAGAGATTCCTGATTTCTTGGAGGAGAGGAGAAGACCAAAAGATTTTTAAAATACATCTTATCAAAGAAATTTATAATTTATACAACATAGTCTCTTTGAAAATTATTTAACAAAATAAAAAATATCAGCTACTTTGAAAGTCACGTACCATTCCTTTTTGCTATAGAGCTAATGCAAACCAGTATGAAAATTACCTTCTGGGAACAAGTTTCAACACTTTGTTCATGGATTACCCTGCTCAGAACTGTTTAGGAAAGAATAGGAGGCAAAGAAATGCATAATGACTATACTTAGTATAGTTTGGCTTATAAAAAACAAAAAAAAATTCAGCTCTTTAAAGGTTAGAAGGTAACTGGAGGAAAAGAAAGGAAAAAAAAAAACTAATGTAGATGACTGAGTTTGGATAAGGCCTCAGAATCCATAGTTTTAGTTCAGTAATGTTAAGATATATGTGGCCATGCTTATTTTCCTGTATTTATTGCTAATGCTCAAGTGTTAGTATTTCTTAAGAATCTACTACAAAAATCCTAGTTCCCCGCCCCCCACCCCCCAAAGTACCTCGCCTCGCCTGTAGCTTTATGGCGTGAAGTCTCTGAGGCTGACTTCTATGGTTCCTTCAGCTTCAGATGGGGAAAAAGTCCACAGCTAAAAGTCAGGTCAAATGCACTGGGGTTATGTTCTTATTTTCCCATAAACTTTTAGCTTGAGTAGTGTGGAAACCAGACTAACACTTCACTTTGTGTGATAGATATAGGAAAACAAAGAAGGCAGCACCCTGTGCAAAGGGCTATTACCACTGGCCAGAAGTAGCAGATGAGAGTTCATTCATGGTCTCTCCCAACTAGGATGTTCTCCATTCAGGAATCCTGACCTTTCAACTTCCTTTTCAGTTGTCTACCATTTGCTTACATCAGTTATATGCCAAAAGTAGAAGAAAAAAAAATGAAAGAAAAAGCATTAAATTTAGTCAATGCTTCCAAGAGTTGAGCATCTGGCAACATGGCTGACTGGATGGTTCATTATAAAACAGAAGTGCAGCATTGCAAGGTGGGGCTGGGGCAAGGCTAGGGAAAGGTCACTATTGAGGAGCCCATGTTGGTTTTAAAAAAAGAAAGCAAACAAGGTTCACATCATCTTCTTAATGCTATTACGTTTGAAGCTGCCAGCACTTCTTTGCTTCTGTACTTGGCTTGCGGATCCATGGCGAGTTCGTCCACTGTTACAGTGGCCAGAGGTTGGGGAGAGTTCCACATTCTCCTTGTCAATTCCTAGACAGAAACAGAGTAGCCAGTTACTTCCCCCTCTGCTGTTAAGCTTCAGGACCCGAATCTCATTCATTGTGTATGAGATACAACCTTGTCAATCGTTTTTGAATATTCCATTTTCATAGTCAACTACTAGAATGTTTATAAAGTCTTTGTCATGGGCTGGGAAGGTGGCTCAGTGGTGGAGTGCTTGCCTTGCATGCATGAGGCCCTGGGTTCGATTCCTCAGCACCACATAAGCAGAAAAAGCCAGAAGTGGTGCTATGGCTCAAGTGGTAAGAGTGCTAGCCTTGAGCTGAAGAGCTCAGGGGCAGCTCCCAGGCCCAGAGTTCAGGCCCCACAACCGACCAAAAAAAAAAAGAAAAAAAGAAAAGAAAAAAGAGTCTTTGTCATACAGAAAACCTCACATTTGTTGAGTCAAATGTGCTATCATTGCAGAAAACAGAAGAAAGGTGTTGCAAGGTAAAGCTAGAGGCAAGCAGGCTTGAATAGAGTGAAATGCTAGCAGCCACTAGGGAAGACTAGAGCTCCTTCCTCCAAGTCATTCCAGAAGCATCCAGCAGAGGGCAGCTTCTAACCACACATTCTCTAGTCATAGAAGGTACTGCTCTTTCTGCAAATCTTTCATTAAAAAAAAAAGGAAACACTATTGTTTTGAATTATATGACTATTCCAAAGAAGCTCAAACATTTACCAAAGAAAAAATGAATTACAGAAGTTATCCTCTAGAATCTGCTTTTTTCAATTATGGCAAGTCATTCATTGTACACCTTTGAATGGGAAACGTATTTCTCTCATGGAGACTACACCTCCAACAGCTGGCCCTGCAGTAAATGTTATAAATTATATAGTAACTACAGAAAAGTATCCACAACAAAAAGATTATAAGATAGACAAGTAAAAGAAGCAGGAAAGGAGTGAGAACAGAAGGTAGTGACTGAGGCAGTCCAGGGGTGGCTTTTGGGTGCTGGTAATACTTCTGGGTGCTGGTAATACTGTATTTCATGATCTGGATGTTGTAACTTCAAGCTGTATTTAAAAGTTCATTAAATTTTAAACTTATGACTTGAGTATTTTTTGCACCTTAAAATAGCATGATGATGGGGCTGGGAAGGTGGCTCAGTGGTAGAGCGCTTGCCTTGCATGCATGAGGCCCTGGGTTCCTCAGTACCTCATAAGCAGAAAACAAGCCAGAAGTGGTGCTGTGGCTCAAGTGGTAGAGTGCTCACCTTGAGCTGAAGAGCTGAGGGATAGCACCCAGGCACAGAGTTCAGGCCCCATGCCTGACCCCAACCTCCCAAATAGCATGATGATATACATCGCTGGAATAGCTACTGTTGGGAGAACACCATATTCTTATTTTGCATAGGGGAAAATACATATGGAAAAAATGAAAAAGAAGAAAAAGGTTGGGAAAACATTTGTTTTACTTTCTTGGGTGATTTTTACTTTATCAGTAGTTTGAATTTTTAGATAATCACATTATGACTTCAATTATGTAAAGAAAAGAAACTGGGGGGCTGGGAAGTTGGCTCAGTGGTAGAGTGCTTGCCTTGCATGCCTGAGGCCCTGGGTTCGATTCCTCAGCACCACATAAGCAGAAAGAAAAAAGCTGGAAGTGGTGCTGTGGCTCAAGTGGTGGAGCGCTAGCCTTAAGCTGAAGAGCTGAGGGACAGCGCCCAGGCCCACACTTCAGGCCCCACGACTGGACCCAGAAAAAAAAAAAAGAAAAGAAAAGAAACTGGAAGCTGGATGCCAGTGGCTCACACCAGTAATCCTAGCTACTCAGGAGGCTGAGATCCAAGGATCCTGGTTCAAAGCCAGCCCGGGGAAATAAAGTATGTGAGACTCTTCAATAAACCACCAGAAAAAACTGGAAGTGGCACTGTGGCTCAATTGGTAGAGCACTATAGCCTTGAGCTGAAGAGCTGAGGGACAGCAACCAGGCCCAGAGTTCAAGCCCCATGACCAAAAAAAAAAAGAAAGAAAGAAAGAAAAAGTTTTTTCACATGCTGGTACAGTGACTGAGCCTCAACTGTCTCCTTTAATCCCCACTGGAGATTTGGGATTTAATCCCCACTGGCCCTTTGGTAGCTAATTGGAAATAAAAGTCTCATGGGTTTTTCTACGCAGATCTCAGCCTCTTAAATAGATAGGATTATAGGCATGAGCCACTAGCATCTGGATTGGAAAATCATTTTTAAAAAGCAATTAAAGCTGGGTGCAGGTGGCTCATGCCTGTAATCCTAGCTACTCAAGAGGCTGAGATTTGAGGATCACCGTTCAAATCCAGCCTGGGCAGGAAAGTCTGTGAGACTCTTATCTCCAAAAAACCATTAGAAAACCAGAAGTTGTATTGTGGCTCAAGCGGTAGAGCGCTTGCCTTGAGCTGAAGAGCTGAGGGATAGTGCCCAAGCCCAGAGTTCAAGACCTACGACTGACAAAAAAAAAAAAAAAAGCAATTAAAGTGGGGGCTGGGAAGGTGGCTCAGTGGTAGAGTGCTTGCCTTGCATGCATGAGGCCCTAGGTTCAATTCCTCAGCACCACATAAGCAGAAAAAGCCAGAAGGGGCACGTGGCTCAAGTGGTAGAGTGCTAGCCTTGAGCTGAAGAGCTGAGGGTCAGCACCCAGACCCAGAGCTTAGGCTCCACGACTGACAAAAAAAAAAAAAGCAATTAAAGTAACATTTATATAATATATAGTACTTTGAAAAAGGAAAATTATATGCAGAAGAATGATCATAGTATTTGAAATATGGCATTTAAGTTTCTACACATAATTTTTTCTTCCTGGGCATCATTTTTTTTTAATAATCCTTTTTTAAAATAAAATTAAATGTAGAAATGCCTCTAGAGCTGGTGAAAACTCTGAGCCTGCTCACACAGGACCATGCCCGTCCTGCACTGGTCAGGCTACATTTTCAGTTCCCGAGAAAGCCCTGGGGTTGCAGTTGTGCTTCTTTTCACCAAGGTCTTCCTGGAACTCTGGCTCTGAGCTCTTTTAGGCCTCAAAAGCACTAAGTTTCCCTTCTTACCTCAAGGTAGACAGAAAAAGTAAAGCCCATGAACTGACAGGCACCCAACTTACTACTTTCAATTCCCCACAGGTACACTGAAATTAAACACTGCAGAAGAAGTGAAAGTCTCTATAGCAGTGTATTAATGGCACAATGTTATAATAAAAAATGTGGTTCCAGACAAAGATAATATTCTAAATAAAAGGTGTTACTGACTAAAGTTGTAAAATGAGTTCTGTGGGGACAAGAACTACTAGTAGTTTTGTGTCTCTCTCCTTGCTAGAATGAGTTCCTTGAAGGCAGGTATCAGGGTTTATTTCAACAGTTACTGATATACATAGCTCCTGTTTGACAAATAATGAAACACTTGAATTATAGAGAAGCTGAGAAAAAAAATGGATTAAATCTGTCAGAAGTTACCCAAGGAAAACAAAAGACCAAAAAATAATGGAAATCTCCTACCGCCTTCCCAGGAGCACTTGTCGGTTGCCTAATTGAATTGCTTAGTTTATTACACATGCAATATGGAAGCCCCATCAGAAAACTCTTCCTACACATAATATGCCAGCAAATATGTTTGAGGGCCAAAATTTGAGCTTTGGTTGGATCAGAACTTTTATTTGGCTCTAGATCCTTTGTTCTTTCTTTTTGGGTGATGACTGAACTAAGGAGAGATTGTACACTTTAAAAAATTCATGGCTCTACCACTAAGCCACACTGTCAACTTCCTTGGCTTTTAGGATTTTTTTCTCTGTGGGTAGTGATACTGGGAGTTTAAACTCAGGTCCTCTTGGCATCTAGCCTCCTTGCCTCTAGTTCTTAACCTAGAAATTAAAGGGAACAAAGGGATGTTAGAAAAGTCAGATAAAATAATCTGTGCAAAGAATTTTTTGGGCATTTATAAAATAATTACTGTGTAAACTAAAATGATTCTAGTAACTCAAATTTAAAAAAAAGACTAAATGATATATTAAGAGGAATTTTAGAACAAAAAAGAACTTAAATTTTATGCCAGAATTTGTAAAATTATTGAGATTAATGTAAATAAACATAAAACATAATAACAATTCTTAGAAAGCTATGTTAACCATAGCTTGCTTTTATGCTATAGCACATACATTTACAGCGACATGGTAAATATACAATTAAATTATTTGGTGTAGGGCTGCGAAGGTGGCTCAGCAGTAGAGTGCTTGCCTTGCATGTGTGAGGCCCTGGGTTCGATTCCTCAGCACCACATAAACAGAGAAGGCCGGAAGTGGCACTGTGGCTCAAGTGGTAGAGGGCTAGCCTTGAGTTGAAGAGCTGAGGAACAGTGCCCAGGCCCAGAGTTCAAGCCCCACAACCAACAATAACAAAATATTTGTAATTTGAGCTGAATATACAAAATTATAAACTATAGGAATTTATAAAGAATTTTAATGAGCTCTCAACAATTGCTAACATTTCCTTTTCCATCTAGGTTTAACTTTCTATATAATAAATACAGAATAAAAGATATATATATATATATTTTTTCTTTTTTTTTTCCTTGCCAGTCGTGGGCAAATTCTGGGCCGGGGCGCTGTGCTCAGCTCTTCAGCTCAAGGCTAGCACTCTACCACTAGCGCCACTTCTGGCTTTTTCTACTTATGTGGTCCTGAAGAATCGAACCCAGGGCCTCATGCATGCAAGGCAAGCACTCTACTACTGAGCCACCTTCACAGCCCAAGATATATTTTTGTAAATTGGACATACATAGGTGTGTCACATTTTTCCTTCTTAGTCCTTAGGGATAACTGACCACATTCCTTTACTAAGAAACATACATGATGGAATGAACAGCCAGTTTTAATATCTAAGGAAACATGAGTTGACTTCATTTTGTGGGAAAACAAGTAGTTTTGAAGCTAAAGAAATGTTTCTTCAAGCCCCAATGTACTGTTTCTTCTTGGGTAACTCTCACTTAAATTTGTTGTTAACCTGCTTGGGTTAGTGCAGGGCTGGACTGAAGCTTTGGGATTTGGGGCAGGTACAAGAATAACAAGGAAGACGGGTCGCATTGCCCCTGCAGTTTTGTAAGCTCCCAGACCCCACAAAGCAGTAGCTCTCCCAGGTTTTGCAGTGCCAGGCTGAGCTGCTGGAACTGGTCAGTGTAGTCTCATGCTATTTGCCCAGGGTGAATGTGAGGCAGGCAGCACTTCGTGCAAGGATGCTGAAAGCAAGGAGTACCTGTATGAGGGAACAGCTGCATGAAAACTGCTGACTTAGAGCAAGGCAGGGGAGCTTCACAGACAGAATGGAAGAAAAAAACAGAGTGAGTGATTTCCAGAGGAGTTCAACAAAAGGTGAAATAAGACCAGAACAGATCATTGCTATGTTCCCTGGTTTTCAAAGAGATTCTGGTTTAACCTATTTAACTCTCACCATTATTTTCCTAAACATTACAATCTTCAACTGAGTAACAGAATTTAAACTTTTATACACTGATGTATACCATCTGTATTCATTTTGTGAAACTGGGGACTGAACTCAGGGGAACTGAACTCAGGGTCTTGAGCATGCTAAGAAATCATTCAGCCAGGGCTGGGAAGGTGGCTCAGTGGTAGAGCACTTGCTTTGCATGCCTGAGGCCCTGGGTTCGATTCCTCAGCACTACATAAGCAAACGAAAAAAGCTGGAAGTGGTGCTGTGGCTCAAGTGGTAGAGCACTAGCCTTGAGCTGAAGAGCTAATGCTCTAGCACTTTGAGGGACAGTGCCCAGGCCCAGAGTTCAGGCCCCATGACCAGACCCCCCCCCCAAAAAAATCATTCAACCACTGAGGTATATCCTTAGTCTTAGTTTTTTGAGATAAGATCTCATTGTGTAGCCCAGGCTGGCTTTAAACTTGATTCTACTGCCTTAACTTCCTAAGTGCAAATACTACAGGTGTGTACCATCATATCTACCAAAAAATGATTTTGATGAACTATTCCTGCACATACATAGCTGTCAGCATTCCTGGCTTTAGGAATACTTATGCTTGCTAGCAGATCCACTCCCTTTTCTCTACAGGATGTGTATATCATAGAAGCAAAGTAAGAGAATGACTATCAGGCTTGGACAAACCCAAAAATAAAGTAAAAGTGAATTTAAAATAAAGAACTATTAAGTATGCCTTTGCTCTGAAAAATTCATACTACAATTAAAAATCACTAAAAAGATATAATAGGCTTATAATCCATATCTATTTCTCTCTATATCTTACAAATCTTGTTTATTTATTTATTTTGATCAGCTGTGGCACTCAGGGCTTGGGCGCTGGTCATTAGCTTCTCAGGCTCAAGACTAATGCTCTAGCACTTTGAGCCACAGCACCACTTCCAGTTTTTTGAGTGGTTAATACATAAGTGTCTTAAGGGGATTTTTCTGCCCTGGCTGACTTTGAATTGTGATCCTCAGATCTCAGCCTCCTGAATAGCTAGGATTATAGGCATGAGTCACCAGTACCTGGCTTACAGTTTTTAAGGCAAATACACATTTTAAAATTTTTGCCATGGGCTAGGAAGGTGGCTCAGCGCTTGCCTTGCATGCTTGGGGCCCTGGGTTTGATTCCTCAGTACCACATAAGCAGAAAAAAAAAAAAGCCAGAAGTGGCCCTGTGGCTCAAGTGTCTGAAAAAGAATAATTAGCAGTACAAGATGCAATAAGAAAGCATCATAGAAGAGGTGGAAATAATCCCTTGTACACTTTACCACCCTTACTCTGAGTTTCCTGCAGGCTTGCTATCCTACCACTTGAGCCATTCTCTTAGCCCTTTTGTAAAGAGTATATTATCGTCTTTCAGTAGTTGTATGGCGAAGTTTATGAATACAATGCATCTTGGTCAATATCATCCCTTTCATTATTCTCTCCCACTAGCCATTTCAATTAAAGAAAAAACGTGGGATAAAATCTGGAACTCACAATCCTCCTGCCTCAATTTCTGCAGGATTAGGATTATATACATACACTTTCACACCCAGCCTGTTCTCTGATAATTTTCTGACTTTAAAAAATAATTCTAAGTTATAGGGTAAGACTCTCTACCAGGGAAATTAATACGGCTAATGTCCAATGAACACTGGACAATTTAACCAGTTGGCAAGGAAATCTACTATATTCTATTCTCAACCTGATTATTTTATTGTATCCATTCCCAGGCAAAAATGGACAGCAATATCCATAACAATAAGGTTTGGGTTTAAGAAAGTAAATAAAAGTACTATTTTAGTAGCTTAAAAGTAACTATGTTAAAAAATATAAACCTAAATAGTAGAACCATGTAGAACCTATTTTCTCCCTTGTAATGCTGAGGATGGAACCCAGGGCCTATAGATGCTAGGCAAGGATTCTACCAGTGAACTGTATCTTTAGTCTATCCTAATTTTCACTAATATTAGTAGTTGATATGTAAAACATAACCGAGAAAATAGGGATCTCTACAGAAGAAAAGTATTGGTAGATTTAAGCTAAAGCAGACAGAAGTGACAAGACAAAAATACAGAAATAAATGAAGGAGATAGGTAAAGAAAGAAAGAGAAAGAAGATAAATGCAATGATATGGAAGACAATGAATGTTGTTAAGGGAACACTGGCCTTGATTCTACCTAGGAGCTGTATCATTACAGTAGTTCACTTAGTGCTTCTAAAACCCAGTCTCCTCATTGCACCCAACACTGTTTATTTGCACAGTCTATAAGCAACAAAATGCTAAGAGTTTATGGGGAAAAGGTTGGAAGATCTAAATTCTGTCGTGGCCCAAACAGCTGACATGTGATAATGGGGCAGTACTACAGACAAACCTAAGGTAGAACTTTCAAACTCCGGTGTGCACAAGAATCACTAAGGGTGCTAAGACACTAATGGCTGGCTGGGTGCCACTCTTGGGAGTTTCTTGTGCATGTCTGGAGTGGGACTCTAGCAGTTGCATTTCTAAAATGCTCTCAAAGACTACTGCTGCTGGTATGGTCGCAGAGCACACTTGGAGAAACACTGTCCTGGAGAGTAAGTGGCAGGACAAGTGAGCATATTAGCTGAGACCTCTCTTACCCTGGGGAAGAAGGAATATCTGCAAAGCGAGTGATAGATAAATGCTGAAGTAAAGATTAATAATTAAATGTAACTGCTTTACATAATTTGTTACACTAGGAATGAGTATCATATTTGGCAAATTCTGCAGAGCCACACATAAATGGGAATGTTCATGCAACATTCTCATAGGAAAATTAGGAAAGGTTTATTATGTCATATTGAAGTGGAAATTCTATTTATAGATCTTGAACATCACAGAATAGTGGTGTAATTTGCGTTCTGTTTTTTTTTTTTAAATTGTGAAAATACCATACAGAGGGGTTACAATTACATGGGCAAGAAGTAATTTGAGTTTTAAAAAGAAAATCTACATCAACATTTCAAACAACTATATACACTATCTAAAAAAAATTTCCTTGGCTGGGAAGTATGTCTCAAGTGGTAGAATGCTTGTCTACTATAGCAGGAGGCCCTGGGTTCAAATCTTTCTGGAATGAGCCATTTCATGAGTGACCTTTTCAGGTAATAGAATTTTATACAATAAATCCTTCTTTGAACCATTTTAGATTACTCTTTCCAGCAGAAAAATGTGACCACTATAGCAGCTTTCTGTCATTGCCCACTGTCATAACAACAGGCCAACAGCATCAGCTCTGCTGATGAACAGTTGATGAATAGTGCACCCCTGGTTCAACCAGAGTTGTATGAAGCATTCCTCCTGAGTAAATGATTCCCTTGAGCTTATATCTCAGTGTATTAACACTTAAGTTTCATGTCAAATTAGTATACCTGGAGCTAACGGTGACACCACAGTAAAGACTCTACTTACAGGCTTTAAGAGGTTATTTTCTGCATTTTGGAGGGAGAGTACTAGACTTTGAACTCAGAGTCTTGTGTTTGCTAAGCAAGTATTCTACTACTTGAGCTACATACCCAGAGTAAGATGTTATTACTTGATTAGACATTTTTTATCTGGTTGTTCGTTTAATCAGATCTTCAAAACAGGCTATGGTTGGTTGAGGGTTACTGTGTTATTTCTGGCAGCAAGGAAGTGGGAAGTCTATTAGACTTTGTGTATTTTTGTTTTAATAAAATATTTTGTATCAGAGACAGGGAAGCCCTTAGGGTATACCTTAAGGGAAAAAAAAATTGTAGTTCTACTCACTTCCTCAGTAATGTAGCTAAAGGTATTCTTCAAGCTCAAACTCTTAAAAACTTATCAATCTTTGGGATACCTTTGTGAACATTATAGATGTTTCAAGATCCTTTGTTACAACTCGTTAAAAAGTTGAGAGCTTTTCAGAGTAACAATATTCAAGTCAGTTACAAGGTAAAGAAGAAATTTAAGGTGAACTTTAGGAGGAAAAGGAGCAAAATCTGCTGTAATATGACTACAAGGCAATTCTTAATATTGGTTCCTTAATAGTAGTACTCAAAATCATATCAATAGTTCATTTACTGACCTGGGGAATGCTGGGAAGTTGCAAGTGAGGTCATGGAATTGGAGAGATTAAGGTTGGCAGCGATACTAAGCTGACTCTGTAGTGCAGGAGGGTAAGGAGAGGTGGGGGTCAGGAGGGACTCCTCACTTGTTTCTTCATCAATTCCAGGCAAGTATGTGTCAATCAAGGCATCAAGAAACTTAACAATAAGTTCAGCATAGTCTGGGATTTGTGTTTGCTGTAATGGAAAATAGGAAATTATTTTAGCTCCATTAAAAAAAAAATGCCCTTTGCGGGGTGCTGGTGGCTCATGCCTGTAATCCTAGCTACTCAGGAGGCTGAGATCTGAGGATCACCATTCAAAGCCAGCCCGTGCAGGAAAGTCCGTGAGACTCTTATCTCTAATAAACCACTAGAAGACCAGAAGTGGCGCTGTGGCTCAAGCGGTAGAGCGCTCACCCTTGAGCTGAAGAGCACAGGGACAGTGCCCAGGCCCAGAGTTCAAGCCCTACAGACGACAAAAAAAAAAGATTAACTGAATTTTTATTTTGGGTTTGACTATTTTTGTATTCCAGATTGTTTAAAAGGGAATAGATTAAGGGCTGGGAAGGTGGCTCAGTGGTAGAGTGCTTGCTTTGTATGCCTGAGGCCCTGGGTTTGATTCCTCAGCACCACATATGGAAAAAGAAAAAAAAGCCGGAAGTGGAGCTGTGGCTCAAGTGGTAGAGCGCTAGCCTTGAGCTGAAGAGCTGAGGGACAGTGCCCAGGCCCAGAGTGCAGGCCCCACGACCGGACCCAAAAAAAAAGGGACTAGATTAATATTTATAGACCACCACAGGACTTACAACTGGAAATTTTATTTAGCTTACATTTAAAGTGTCCAGATGAACCTGGAAGGAAAGCCTTACAAAGACCGAATTTAATAATGGAATGATACAAGAAAAATGATGTCTAGCCTACTTTCCACAATGGAGAAAATGAGCATTCTCATTGTAGTGCTAAATTCCAGCAACTAGACATTATGCAGGGCTCAAAGAGTTGCAGGAATCTCAGTGTATCGACTTCTACTTACTTTACCCACTTGGAGCTAACAGTGACTCCTAGGAAAAACTATATTTATGGGCTTAAAGATATTTTCTTGAGATGCCTACTTTGTCTAGTTATTTACTTAATTCTAGATCTTCAGGCTGGTCCTGCATGAAACACTTATTTCTGTAACTAAAACCCCACTCTTTTTAGTGATAATCTATGCTTTTCAAGACATAATCAGTATAATTGAAGAAAATAAACTATTCAGTTATTAAAACTGGGCCAAGATTTAGCTAATTCCTGATTTACCATCCCTATATCTAAAGCACTAGAACTGCTCATGGAGGAAACACAAGTCTTGCCTTCCCCAAACTTTTATGCTCAAGGCTAGTGCTTTACATTTGAGCTACAGCTCTACCTCTAGGGGTGTGTGTGTGTGTGTGTCTGTGTGTGTGTGTGTGTGTCTGTGTCTGTGTGTGTGTGTCTGTGTGTGTGTGTGTGTTTTGTGAGAAAATAGTCTCCACAGACTTTTCTGCCTAGGCTGGTGTCAAACTAAGAGCCCTAGACTTCAGCCTCTTGAATAGCTAGGATTATAGTTATGAGCCACCGGTGCCCTGCATAAACTGATTTTTTTTTTTGGGCGGCCAGTCTTGGGGCTTGAACTTAGGGCCCTGGACACTGTCCCTGAGCTTTTTTTTGCTCAAAACTAGCACTCTACCACTTGAGCCACAGTGCCACTTCTGGCCTTTTCTGTTTATATGGTACTGAAGTATCAAGCCCAGGGCTTCCTGCATGCTAGTCAAGCATTCTACCACTAAGCCCTAAACTGAATTTTTAAAAGTAAAAATAATAAATATATTAAGGGAAAAATCTTGTGCTAAAATTTTTTAAAAAATAACATGCCTATTTTGAGTTATTACTCTGAATTTTAGCATATTGGGTGTTCTTCTACTGGTATGTGAATGTTGATTAAAATATTTGTCAAGTGGTTGGGAATGTGACTTAGTGGTAGAGTGCTTGTCTAGCATGCATGAACCCCTGGGTTCAATTCCTCAGTACCACATAAACAGAAAAAGCTGGAAGTGGTGCTATGGCTCAAGTGATAGAGTGCTAGCCTTGAGCAAAAAACAGGTCAGGGACAATGCCCAGGCCTTGAGTTCAAGCCCCAGGATTAGCAAAAAGAAAAAATAAAAAAAAATTTTTTGTCAAGAATAAGACATAAGTATATTACCTTTGAAAAGGGTCCTGCAAACCGCCATAAGCCATTAAAACCAAAACCTATGAGAAACCAAATAAAAAAATCACTCACTCTTACAGCAAGCAAGAAGTCTTTTAATGGTAACCGAAATTAAGTTGACATAGAAAACCTATGTACACATGAAGACATTTTAGAATGAGTGCCATATTTGAATAAAGTTCATCATATTGACATATAATTAAGAGAGTTAGAAAATGGCACATTGAGTTTGCTAAAGCAAAATGAGTCTGTCCCTGAGGAAGCATTCTGTGGTCAGGTTGGCCTTAGGAAGTACACTGTAGGATATGCATGCTGGCGACTTACCCACCACTTCTCCTGGCACCTACTTACTCTGTAGATAAGATGTCTGGTACTGTGGGGGGGACTCCTCATGATATACCACACTCTGCACAATTCCATGGATGGGATTTAGTAAATTTGGATCTTGGCACAATGACAACAAGGTGTTGATCTTAGAGTCCAACAAATTATGACTAAAGAAAGAAAAAACAACAACAGAGGAACAGTTTAGAGGAAAAGACTTACTAGAAAGCATCCATTTCTTAGAACAATGTGGCAAAACTAGAGATGGGTGCTTTTAATTTTTCTAGTGGTGTTTTGTATCCTACAAATTTTCTATAATGAACATTTGTGTTTATATGTGTGTGTCTGCTTTTTCAGTGTGTCTTTTGTTTTTAGACCAACTGTAAAAGCAGTCGAAACTGTCATAAAACTATAAATATATAAGGCAAATGCTTTTTCAAGACAAGATTAGCTGCTATCTGCAACCTTAGTGTGCTTTAAGATCATCTCTTTCTGCTGTCTGTTGGATTTTATACCTAAGGATCCAAAACTAAATTCAATAATCAGGGGTTAATATTAATAAATGAATGTTAATAAAAATAAATTATACTAATTTTGGTTAAGATGTCAATAAAATTTATTAATAAAATTAATAAGTATCAATAAAATAACATTAAGAGATGTATGCTAAGTAAAAGCAAAATTAGTTGGGGGGGGTAAAATATACAATCAAATGAAATCTTAATTTTTTCCTCTCAGAGGTACTAGGGTTGAAGTCAAGGCTTTACACTTTTTAGGCAGGCCCTCTACTACTTGAGCCGTGCACCATTCCTTTTAAAATTTTATTTATTTTCAGATAAGGTCTTTCATTTTTCCAGCTTCAGACTCATCATCCTACCTATGTCTTCCCACACAGATGGGATTACTGATATGAACCATCAACAGCTGTGAACCATGATGCTCAGCTTGTTGGTTGAGGTGGGGTCGGTTCACTAACTTTTTGCCAGAGTTGGCCCAAACCACTATCTTTCCAGTCTCTGCTCTGCCCCTTGAGGAACTGGGGTTATAGGAGTGTACCACTATGCCTAGACCAGAAATTATTTCTAACATGGCTACACTCCATTAATTAAAAAAACCTTGAGATTTAACTATATATAAAATTCTAAAAGTTTAAATGAGAATAACTAAAATTAGGAAATACTGGCGTTACGTAAATGATCTGGGTAAGGAGTAGAACAACCAAATTACTTTAAATTAAGCACATCTAAGATAAAATATTAACAGAGTAAAATTTACCACTCAAACAGGAAATCAAGAAGTGGCATTGTGGCTCAAGTGGTAGAGCCTTGAGCTGAAGAGCTCAGGGACAGCACTTGAACCAGAGTTCAAGCCCCATGACTGATTAAAAAAAAAAAACCACAACAGAAAATCAATTTTTCTATATTCAGTTGCAAACAAATACAAAAGCTCTTCTAGAAACAAAACTAGGTATGCTTATTTAAATTATAGAAATCAGAAAAACATACTATGTTCATGAAGATAACTACTTAAATCAACAAGAGTTTAAAAAGTGGCTTACCTTATAGCCCAAACTTAGTTTAGCTATCATTAAGCCCATTATGATTTTGTTCTCTTGTTTTGGGTGCCAGGGAGTCAAACCTGGAATACCTACCTCCAGGTCTCCTAAACCCACCATCTCAAAGATAAAAATCTTTACCACTATCTCACTTACCCCTCCCTTTACAACAAATGGACATTACTGTCTAATAATATATTTCCTAAACTTTTTTTTTTGGGGGGGGGGTGTCAGCTGTGGGGCTTGAATTCAGGGCCTGAGTGGTGTTCTTGAGCCTCTTTGTGCTTAAGGCTAGCACTCTACCACTTGAGCCATGGTGCCACTTCCAGCATTTTCTGAGTAGTTTATCATAAGAGTCTCACAGACTTTTCTGTCCAGGCTAGTTTGAACCACAATCCTCATATCTCAGCCTCCTGAGTAGCTAGGATTAAAGGTGTGAGCCACTGGTGTCTGGCTTCCTAAACCTTTATATAGAGTATTTGATATCGACAGATATAAATGTTAATTACAAATAAAAAGAGATACTTACACAACTGGAAAAACTTTAGGGAATACAACACTGGCCTCTGCCAAGTATTCATAGAGAATTCGCTGATCAAATTCATCCGTTGTGTATTTTACCAGTGTAGCCTGCCAAGATACAAAAAAAGTAAACATTTTCATGGCTGAATTGTTATGCTTTGGTGAGAATTGCAAGATACAACTTCCTTTCATATGTGTAATATTTAAGGGCTTACTAAATATTAAGAGTAGTTTGGAGTAAAAATTTCAGGGAGAAAAAAGAAAAAAACTCAAAAAGGAAAAATAAATCCTTACTAGAACAGTAAGAAGCAGCGCTTGAATCTTCGGATCCGTAAGTACTTCTTCGTCCAAAAGAACATTTGATTCAGACACTGAAACTTTACGTAAGTGTGGGTGCTGTTGTGACGAGGGAATTCTTTGAGATTCTGCTGTGAGATATAATATGGTCAGTTATGTTAACAGTCTTCCTGAATAACCACTTCATCTGACATATTGTTAAATATATAATGTTACTTCTAAAATTCAGTTTTTTTTTCTTCTTGGTGGTGCAGGAGATTTAAACTTGGGGTCTTGCACATGCTATGTTGTTCTCCCACTATCCCTTCCCTCTCCTACCTCACCTACTCCCCCACGCCCCCAAAGCTGTAAGGTTAATTTCCAACATAGTGTTTACAATGTTGAATTATATATTTGATTACTTTTTTACAAAGGTTTCAGGATAAATGTCATTTTAAGGATTGTAATACTCATCTTTAAAGAAAAGAGCAAATGTTTCTATATTGCATCCTAAAGATTCTGTGACACGGTTGAGAAATAAAAATGGCTATACCAGATGAGTCCACCTTATTTTTAATTATCTAGATTGATTGTAAACTTTATTTCTCACCCATTTCATAATCAGTTTCAGCTACTCTCCTCATTTTGGGAGGTGTGGTGATCCCTGATTCCATTTCTTGCCTTTTAGGAGCTTTTGTGTCTGATATCAAGTGGTCAAAACTTTTCCTTGTTCCTATAAACCAAAGTACAAAATATGGAAGTTCATGAACCACAGTGTCTATGAATAGAGTACATTAAAAAGAAAATGTTTGGACACAAATGTTGAAGTTTTCACTTAAGGACCTTAAGGACCCCCAAAAAGCTCAAAAATATCCCTGGAGCAGTTTCTCCATCTTCTCAGGGAGTTTTGGCCTCACAGCTTTTCATTCATGATAGCAGATATCTTTTTTTTTTTTTTTTTGCTAACCATGGGGCTTGAACTCAGGGCCTGGGCACTGTCCCTGAGCTCTTTTGCTCAAGGCTAGCGTTCTGCCACTTTGAACCATAGTGGTTTCTGGTGGTTAATTGGAGATGAAGCTCACAGGGACTTTTCTGTCCAGGCTGGCTTCCAACCACGATCCTCACATCTCAGCCTCTGGAGTGGCTAGTAGATACCTTACAAATCCAGATGAAAATGAGATAACATTCACTACATTGTAGAGAAACCAAACTCCACTAACAAGTACAATTACCAGTAACAAATACAGGGGTAGGAACTGTTCAGTAGCAAATAACTATATCTGAACCACCTTTTCAATTTAAAAATTCTGCTGGTGCCAAGAATTAATCATTAATGTGTGAGGAGTTTCCAAATTAGATGAAGATTAAACCTGTACTTTAATTTGTGAAACTTTGAAAATAAGACGTGTGGGGCTGGGAAGGTGGCTCAGCAGTAGAGTGCTTGCCTCACATGCATGATGAGGCCCTGGGTTCAATTCCTCAGCATCACATAAACAGAAAAGGTTAGAAGTGGCACTATGGCTCAAGTGGTAGAGTGCTAGCCTTGGGTTGAAGAGCTGAGGGACAGCACCCAGGCCCAGCGTTCAAGTCCCACAACCAACCAACCAAAAAAAAAAAAAAAAAAGGTATGTATGCCTGAAAGTATTAAAAATAGATACATTGGGATATGCTTCAAGCAGAAAGTAATACTATCTCACATTTGGCTTTGAGTTTCTCTAATTATGCATTACACTAATATTTAAATGTTCTCTTATTTAAAGTAAAAGTATTGAAATTGGGTTAGCTGGAATGTACATATTATTTTTATTCTTTACACTCAAATGACTTTTATTTTTCTTTTTAAACTGACCCATGCTTCAGGCCTCTAGCCTAGTTATTTTGGAGATTGAGTCTTGCAGACTTTTTTGCACAATCTGGCAAACCCTAATTCTCTAGATCTCAGCTTCCTTAGCAGCTAGGATTATAGGTATGAAGCATCTGTCATCTAGTTCCTATAGCAGTGCTAAGGAAAAATAAATCTAAAACAAGTTTTAAAAAGCTAGATTAAAACCATTATAGCAAAATCTGACAACTGCACATTTACAAGTCTACTGACTTCATACTAATCAATATTCAAAAGAGTCACAAATAGCAAAGCCAAAGGATCAAAATCAGATCAAATCATGCAAACAGGGAAAGCCAGGAGCAGTTACATGATTAGCCTGAAGTGACAAAGTCAGGGATCACTCAGGTTCTCTAAAGACAATCTTTTCTATTCTCCAAAAGATTAGGTTACCATTATCTATGTTGTTTTTCTACCTTTCTCTCTATTTTTACTCCTTGCATTATTCCTAGGAGATTACCTGCTCCTACAGTTCAGCTATCTATAGCTAACCAATTCTTGTTTTCTTTACTCTTCTTCAAATCTAGATTCCTCTTGTTACTTCTTTCTAGGATATATTGTTGTATATATTTTGAAGGGATCTCAAATATATTATCAACCAATGTAAATTTATAATGTACTGTAAATATATCATGCTGATTTCCATGAATGAGACAATTATTGATTCAGGGTTGTTTTCTTAGATTTCTGTTCTTTGGCTTTTATTATTTATTTATTTTTTTCTCGGTAATGGGGCTTGAACTCTGGGCCAGGGTGCTGTCCCAGTGCTCTTCAGCTCAAGGCTAGCACGCTTGAGCCACAGGGCCTGTTCCAGTTTTCTGGTGGTTAATTGAAGTTAACGTCTCATGTACTTTCCTTGCTTGGGCTGGCTTTGAACTAGGATCCTCAGATCTCAGCCTCCTGAGTAGCTAGGATTACAGGTGTGAGCCACCGATGCCCGGCTTGTTTTTTGGCTTTTAATGTATCTATATCATTATACTTAAGAGTGAATCTCTCCCTCTCTCCTCCCCTCCCCACTCTTTTTTTTTTGGTTGGTCGTGGGGCTTGAACTCTGGGCTTGTGCACTGTCCCTGAGCTCTTCAGCTCAAGGCGAGCGCGCTCTACGGCTTGAGTCACAGCACCACTTCCGGTTTTCTAGTGGTTTATTGAAGGTAAGAGTCTCACGGACTTTCTTGCCTGGGCTGGCTTTGAACTGTGATCCTCAGATCTCAGCCTCCTGAGTAGCTAGAATTAGAGGCGTGAGCGCCTGGCATCTCCCTCCCCTACCTTTTATGGTACTGGGGATTTAAGAGTCCAACTTACTATGCAGGTGTTTTACCACTTGATCCACCTCCAAGACTCTACTTTTCTTTTTGAGGCAGGATCTTGCTATGAAGTCTAGGCTGCCTTGAACTTGAGATTCTCCTGTCTCTGACTCCAAAATGCTGGGATTACAAATGTGTATTTTATCTGGCTTGAAGCTTCTTCTATAGAGTCTATAATTAGGTCTTCTTTAAAAATTAAATTTATTTTTAACTGACACACACATATATGATTATACATTAATGAAGTAATGTTTTAATATATGTATATATTGTATAATATTTATGTAAACATGTCTCTTCAAGCACTTACCATCTTTTAATGAGAAAAAATTCCAAATCCTTTCTTTCATGAAAGATACATTATAATTAACTGTACTCACCATGCTGTGCAATAGTTCCTGTTTGTATCTAAAACATACTGATCAATCTCTCCTCTTTCTACACATGACTCTCCTCAGTCTTTTACAGTTTTCAACCCCTGTCTAGCCTTATTTCTTATACCATTCCCCTTGATGCTATGGTCTACTGCAAGCTGCTTTCCTAAGTTTTTTTTTTTTTTTTTTTTTGCCAGTTTGGGGGCTTGAACTCAGGGCCTGGGCACTGTCCTTGAGCTGCTTTTGCTCAAGGCTAGCACTCTACCACTTGAGCCACAGCACCACTTTCAACTTTTTCTGAGTACTTTACTGGAGTTAAGAGTCCCATGGATTTTCCTACCAGCTCCTGGCTTATATTGATGTCTTTAAGACCAGGTAATCTCTGCAGCTTTTCCTTGTTACCTCAATTCCTCAGTTTTCCATCAAAACAAACCTCTAATGGCTATCTTGGCCCTCCCAGGGCAGACACACCAGTAACCTGAGTGGAACAATGAGTACAGTGTTAGATTTTCTAGTGTTAGTTTTTCATTTCCAACTTCCTTGGCATGACAATCTCAATAAAGAAACAAAGTAACCAGGAAACCCCTAGAAGATTATTTCTGGCAAAGGATGAACGGAACTTAAAAAATAATAAGAATGGTCATACTTGGTTTTTAATTCTTTGACAGGTTATGTTACACTCTATTGTTTGTGAACATAAACATTTTCCCAATACTATCGAAGATAGTTAAGTATGTTGGCATGAATAACTGAAATCCACTGGACCATTCACAACTGATTACTGAAATATCTAACCTAATACATTCCAGTAACAATAAAAATACTGGCCATGAAGCCAGCCTGGTAGGAAAATCCGTGAGACTCTTATCTCCAATAAACCACCAGAAAACTAGAAGTGGCGTAGAACTGGAAGAGGTGGAGCACTAGCCTTGAGCTAAAATGCTGAGGGACAGCACCCAGGCCCAGAGTTCAAGCCCCATGACCAAACAAACAAAAAATAAAAAAACAAAAAAAAATCCTGGCCAACAGAATACAAGAATTGCTTTGTATTTTCTTTGGATATAATGTAGTATCAGAGCATTTTTCAGGAATTTACTTTCAGTAAAGGGTCTCAGTATTTTATGTGGATTTCTCATAGCCTAATGTTTATTTATCTGAGTTATTTCAGCTTTGAAGGGTCATATCTTTCTTTGGCCAGTCCTGGGGCTTGAACTCAGAGCCTGGGCACTGTCACTGAGTTTCTTTTGCTCAAGGCTAGAATTCTACCACTTGAGCCACATTCCCAGCCAAATCTTTTACTTATTTTTTGTGCTGGTCCTAGTGCTTGACTTTGGAGCCTGGGCTCTGTCCCTGAGCTTCTGTTCTACTTGAGCCACAGCTCCACTTCTGGCTTAATTGGTGATAAAAGTCTCATGGACTTTCCTACCAGGGTTGGCTTTGAATTGTGGTCCTCAGATCTCAGACTCCAGCTAGGATTAATGGCATGAGCCACCAGTGCCTGGCAGAATCACTTTATAATTGAAAAAATACATTATCTTACTTTATTTTTTTCCAAAGAAATCAGGAAAATATTATTATAGATTTATTCCACATAAGTATCTTCTGCTCTCAATATTTTTGAGAAATGTGTCATAGGTATCTAATAGTTCTACTATTCCCACTGTCTGATGCATACCCAAGGCAGAACAAAACAAGAGCCACAGTATTTATGCAAGGAATTAGAAAAATGAAACAAAAGCACAACAAAATAAAAATCCCCAAACTGTTTCAAAAGCCCAATTCTCAATCTCAACCGATAATGCTTAACTTACATATTAAACTCTTACAATTGTCTTAAAAAGATCCCGCTACATACAAACAGAAAATTTTAGTAATTTCAAACAGTTTCAAATACTTCTCTGAATAATAAAGTATATGATAATGTTTTAGAATAGTAAGTTTAAAAATAGAAAAACATTGAGATGAACTAACCAAGCAACTTCTTAGTGTTGGCCTGAGAAGGCTGCCCCATGTCCAAGCTCATGGATTTCCTGGCTCGGGGACTAGTCTGGCCCACAGCTGGATAAGTGGCTGCAAGGTACCCCTCAGAACCTTTGGGAGAGGACCATGGCTGGTTCTCTTTTAGTGTCCTGAGATTTAAACAATTGAGAAGAATTATAAACACAGAGACAAATACAACCATCACTTGCCCATTCCAAGTAGCTTTCCTATTTCCCAATGACAGCAATCAATTAATTTTTTTTTTTTTTGGGTCCGGTAGTGGGCCTAAACTCTGGGCCTGGGCGCTGTCCCTCAGCTCTTCAGCTCAAGGCTAGTGCTCTACCACTTGAGCCACAGCACCACTTCCGGCTTTTTTCTTTTTGCTTACATGGTGCTGAGGAATCAAACCCAGGGCCTCAGGCATGCAAGGCAAGCGCTCTACCACTGAGCCACCTTCCCAGCCCCAATCAATTAATTTTAACATAGCACTTCAAAGGGCTTTAGGGGTTGCTGGTCCTGGTGCTTGAATTCAGGGCCTGGGTGCTGTCTGTTAGCTTTTTTGCCCAGGGCTATAGCACTCAACCACTTGAACTACAGCACCACTCTTAGTTTTTTTGGTAGTTAATTGGAGAGAAGTCTCAGGGACTTTTCTGCCCAGGCGGGTTGAACTGAGTTTTGTTTTGTTTTTGTCAGTCATGGGGGGCTTGAACTCTGGGCTTGGGCGCTATCCCCTCAGCTCTTCAGCTCAAGGTGAGCGCTCTACCGCTTGAGCCACAGTGCCACTTACCTGGGATGGCTTTGAACCATGATCCTTAGATCTCAGCCTCCTGAGTAGCTAGGATTACAGGCGTGAGCCACGGGCGCCTGGCTTGAATTGATTAAAAACTTGAATTGTTTTTTAAAAAGCATGAATCTCAAACTAAATTTATTATTTTATTCTCTCTCTCTATAAAAAAGCATAGCTCAAAGAAATATCTGGATGAGAGTGACCCAAGAGTAAGACTGAATATAAAAAACACCTGGAATACTAGCATACATAGTTAAAATCTCAGTAGGAAATTGTGGAGGGTTTTAAGAAATAATTATAATTTTGTTATTAAGGTGTTGCACAGAGGGGTTACCATTTCACAATTCAGGTAATGTATACATTTCTCTTTTAGACAATGTTACCCCTTCCTTTGCCTTTCTGCAGTTTCTCCCTGCTATCTCTGCCCATAAGTGGCATATCTGGAGATTTTTTTTTTTTAAATTAAAAAGCAGGATGTAACTTGGGCACTGATGGCTCATGCTTATAATCCTAGCTACTGAGGAGGTTGAGATCTGAGGATTGCAGTTCAAAGTCAGTCAGGGCAGGAAAGATGGTGAGACTATCTTCAATTAATCACATAAACAGCCAGAAGTGGAGGTATGGCTCAAGTGGTAAAGTGCTAGCCATGAGCAAAAAGAAGCTCAGGGACAGCGCCTAGGCCCAGAGTTCAAGTCCTAGGACTGACAAAATCAAACCAAAACAAAACAAAACCAGGATGTAGCCAGGCACTAGTGCCTCACACCTATAATCTAAGCTACTTAGGAGGCTGAGATCCATAGGAGAGAAATTTGAGGCCAGACTGATTAGAAAAGTCTTCAAAATTCTATCTCCAAAAGTAACTAGCAAAAAAGCTGGGTTAGAGGCATGGCTCTAATGGTAGAGCATCATTTTAAGTAGTAAAGCTGAGTAAATATGAAATGTCAAGTTCAAACTCCAGTACCAAAAAAAGCAGATGTTAGTAAGCTGAATGATATAAACTCTGCAAGTGGAAGATTATTTTTCTATGTTCAACACTGTACCTAAACCTTGTATTTTGTTTACTTAAGAAATTCCCAAATGATGTCCTTTTCATGTAATACTGAAAACTATACTAACCAAAGAGATTTATTAAAGTACACATAAGCCAGGTGCCACTGGCTCACTCCTGTAATCCTAGTTACTCAAGAGGTTAAGATCTGAGGATTATGATTCAAAGCCAGTCTAGGCAGGAAAGTCCACAAGACTCTTTATCTCCAATTAACCACCCCAAAACTAGAAGTAGTGATGTGGCTCCAACTGGTAGAGCGCTATCCTTGAGCGCAAAAGCTCAGGGACAGCACTTAGGCCTTGAGTTCAAGCCCCATGACTGACAAAAAAAAAAGTAGACATAATTTTATTATTTTATCACAGAAACCTATATAATATAAAAAGCTCTTAAGTAATTTCAGTGTAATATGAAAAAACACAACAAATGTATGGTCATGTTTTTGGTGTATTTTTTAAAAAGAATTATGAATGATTTTTTTAAATTTGGAAAATAGTTGATCTTAAAATACAAAAACTGAAAGGATACAGAGGATAGAGCACATTTGTGGATTTCCTGCAAACAACTATGGCAAAGATTGGATAATTTTTTTTCCAGCTAAATTATTTGGACACATAAAACATTAGAAAATAGCATTGGATATTGCAAAAAAAAAATTGAGTCTCCCCACTGCACTTATGACTATGGCCATCCGTATATCAAACTGTTCACTAATTCAACTAGCAGATATTTTTTATTGAGTAAGACTTACACATGTATATGCAGATGTACATTAAGACTATATATATCTATCATTTTTAATTTATTCATTCATTTATTTACTCATTTTTACGCCATTACTGGAGCTTGAATTCAGAGCCAGGGCATTCTAGCATTTGAGACACAGCCCCACTTTTGGCTGGTTAATTGGAGATAAGAGTCTCACAGATGTTCCTGCCTGGGCTGGCTTCAAACCAGGATTCTTGGGCACTGTTCCTAAACTCTGCAGCTCAAGGCAAGCGCTCTACCACTTGGGTCATAGGGATGAGCATGTTTTTCACCTTTTTTTTTTTTTAATTGCCTATCCTGGAGCTTGGTTTGGGCATTGTCCCTGAACTTTTGTGCTCAAGGCTAGCGCTCTACCACTTACCACTTGAGCTACGGCTCTACTTCCAACTTTTTTGGTGGTTAATTGGAGATAAGAGTCTTGTGGTTTTCTGGGTTGGCTTTGAATCATGATCCTGGATCTCAGCCTCCTGAGTAGCACCCAGCTACCAATCTGGTATAGCTTAATTTTTATCACTAGGGATGTAATGCTACTTATATTTCATGCTAGTTTTTTCCCACCAGACCCTTTTCTAAAACAAAATACTTTTCAGATCATCTTCATTCACTATTCAAATAGTCTTAGCACAATTAGATCAATAGAATGATAATTTTCCTATTACTCACACAAAATACTGTATATTTATAAAATGAGTTTTGATTTAAACACTTTTCTTAGACTACCTCTAGACCCACCTCTATGTTAACTTTTGGATTACGGTCAGCTTCCATCAGCATAGAAGGTATGTAATTAGGGAGGGTAAGTCTACTAACCTATAGCTGGGGTCACCATGATGAAGGGAATATGTATCCATGGGCACATTTTCCATTGAAATATCAGTAAGAAGAAGGGACTTTCTATGTTTGAGGCTGCAGCGACTTCGAACTTCTTCAGACACTGTAAGTAAAGCTAAAAGGGAAAAAGAAGGCAATTTAAAAATTCCGCAAATCATTCATGACCTAAAATCAGATACATTTCTTATAGCCTCTTAAGGAGGATACTAGTACTAAACGTACCTGTAAGGAACCCTAGAGGGTATGTGGCTTTAAGACTATAAATGTTTAGGACAAACTTGCTTACTTTCAACATTTGTAATGTATTTTGGAAGCTTGTACATAAACATGGAAGTTTTAATAAGCATTTTTTTTCAAATCTTGAAAATATGTTGATCTTAAGAAACACAAAAATAGACAGGAGAGGTAGTATGAAGTCCACTAAGGAAAAATACTTTAGAGTCATATGGTTTAAACAAAAAAACTGCCATAATGGAAGATTGCTAAACTGAGAATCAGCACTTTCCATCAAACAATTATAAAGAAATGTATTATATCCAAGTGTTGCTGAATAAACAAAAAGAGCAAATAGACAGTTTAACGGGATGGGGGGAAGACTATTAAAGGCAGAAAGTCACTTGCAGAATAAGTAGACAGCATGTATACAGTTTTAAACAGCCCAACCTTTAGCTGTAATTAAATGAGGCTTATGAAATTTAGCCAACAGAATCAGAGAAGGCTGCTGATGAGATGAGGTTTTGAGATTTTTATGATAGACAAGAGGGAGTCATTGTAGTGTCCTGAATCAAAGATGCTAAAAGGAATGCAGTTCAGATTTCAACGCAAATTCTTTCATAAGGAAAACTGTTTTGGCAAAAACTTAAAATTTTTATTTTACGGACTGATTTGGCAGCACTGGGGATTGAGAACTGAGGGTTTCATGCTTGCCAACTACGTGCTCCATCACTTGGGGCACCTTCCCCTAACCTTCAAAATTGCAGCAAAGGACTGGATTGTGAAGCCTTTATTTTATTTTATTGTTGGTGGTAGGCTTTTTTTTTTTTGTCAGCCATGGGCTTGAACTCTCAGTCTGTACACTGTCCTTGAGCTCTTCAGCTCAAGGCTAGTGTTCTACACTTGAGCCACAGCGCCACTGCCAGTTTGGGGGTGGTTAACCAGAGATAGAGTCTCATGGACTTTACTGCTCCAGCTGGCTTTCAACCGCAATCCTCAGATCTCAGCCTCCTGAGTAGCTAGGATTACAGATGTGAGCCACTGGTCCCTGACTGAAGTCTTTACCTTTCAAAGTAACTAGCTAAAGGACCCATATTGGTATGTGTTCCCTTCAGGTGATCTTAAGATACAGAAAGCGATTAAGATTTTGTGATTTTACCTGCTAAATAAGCCACACTCTGTGTATTCACCTCAAATTTGTCACAATTCCTATGCTTGTTAACCAAAGTTAGTAGTGTATGTAAAATTCTGACTGTTCTTGCAACAATTGCAGGTGAAGGATGTCTGTACCCTACAAAAAAAAGAAAAAGAAAAAAAGAAGTTAATCTAGGAACAAACATTTGACTTCTAATTTTGTAATGACTACCTCTGCAAGAAAAGAAATATTAAGGATCATTTCCCTTCCAAGGATAGCTATTTGTGAAGGTATTTATACATAGCATTAACTAGCAAAATGTGTAGAATAAAACAATGTTTTCTGAAACCTTAGTTATATTTTTCCTCTTGGGGAGAGGGGAAAAATAGTGTTTCAGACCTTTCATTTGCTAAGACTGCAGAGGAAATAAAACAAAAACTCTCCCCCTGCCACCACACTGTGTATTGGAATTCTCTTTAAATTTCTTTCAAAAACAGATTTCTACTGCTTTGAAAGAGATTTTTCAGTTAAAAAGAAATAAAAAGCCAGGCCTGGTAGTGCATACCTGTAATCCTAGCACTAGGGAGGCTGAGGCAGGAGGATCATGAGTTCAAGGCCTGCCTGAGCCACATAAGGAGACTATTTCAAATTACAACAAACAAGCAGTATCTAATGTTCAAAGTCAGACTGGGCAGGAAAGCATATGCTCTTAGGGCTGCAGGTGCTGGTGGCTTACAGACATAATCCTAGCTATTCGGGATGCTGAGATCTGAGGATTGAGGCTTGAAGCCAGCCTAGGCAGAAAACTCCTCAGAACTCTCTAACTACCAGCAAAAATGTTGTCTATAGGTATGGCTCAAGTGATAGAGTTCTAGCTGTGAGCAAAAAAGCCAACAACATGAAACCTCAGTTCAAGCCTCAAAGCTAGCACAAAAAAAAAAAAAGAGCTAGACACCAGTGGCTCATGCTGGTAATCCTAGCTACCCAGGAAGCTGAGATCTAAGGACAAAGATGTGAAGCCATCCTGGGCAAAAAAGTTCTCGAGACTCCATCTCCAGTTAATGAGCACAATGTTGTTCTGGTTGTGTGGCTCAAGTGGTAGTGCACTGGCCATGAAAGAAAAAGCTAACCAAAAGTGAAACCTAAGGGAGTGAAGTCCTGAGTTCAAGCTCCAGTACAAGCAAACACATACACACATGCAAAAACAAAGAACAGGGTTATTTAAAAGATAAATTTGATCTTCAATATGCTTGTTTTAGGTGCCAGTCCTGAGGACTGAACTCAGGGTTAGGTGCTATTCCTGAGCTTTTCTATTCAAAGATAGCTCTCTACCACTAAAGCCACAGCTCTACTTCCAGCTTTTTTGATACTTAATTGGGGCTTTCCTGCCCAGGCTGTCTTTGAACTGTCAGATCTCAACCTTCTGAGGAGCTAGGATTACAAGCAGGAGCCACCAGTGCTTGGCCTCAATATGCTTTTTTTTTTTTTTTTGGTCGACTGTGGGGCTTGACCTCAGGACCTGTACAATGTCCCTGAGCTTTTTCACTCAAGGCTAGCACTCTACCATTTTAAGTCACAGAGCCACTTCCAGTTTTCTGGTAGTTAATTGGTGATAAGAGTCTCATGGATTTTCCTGCCTGGGCTGGCTTCAAACCTCGATCCTCAGATCTAAGCCTCTGAGTTGCTCGGATTACAGGTGTGAGTCACTGGTATCTGGCTCAATATGCTTTTAATCATTAATGCTATTCATTTACAATAGGGATTTGAATTCTGAAAATAGGAATAGTATTTGAGAAATACAGGATAAACAAGCACTTTACCAAAGACAACCTTTTTTGTAATATTTTATAACTAACTCTTCAATGGTTTCCGTAGCAATTTCTCAAGAAGGCAACATCACCAAAGGAGGAGGCTGCAATGCTTGGTAAGAAATGTACGCATTATCTGCCCATGTAATTGTAACCCCTCTGTACAGTATGTTCACAAATAAAATAAAATTAAATTAAAAAAACATTTTAAAGGAAAAAAAAAGAAAAGAAGGCAACATCAAATGAATGCATTCACAGTATACATATCAGGTAAACACGAAGAGAACCTCTATGACACTTTAAACCTAAGAATTATTTAAATAGCTAACAGAACTGTAGACTTGAGCACTGGCCCATTACTCTATGTGAACCCTGACCTGACTGTTCCATGTTAATGGACCATGGCTATCAAGTTGTATAGTCAGCAGTGAGCAGTAAAGTCTGGTCAGATGTGAATGAGCTCTGAGGAGCAGCTAGAAATGGCTGGCTATCAGCAATACAGAAATCCAGAGTGTTAGGAAACAGAAAGGTAAGGCTCTGGAGCATGACAGAATGGTATTGATCTACAATGTATTGGAAACGAATTAAAAAATATCTGACCAAATCTGAATTTAATTACTCACAAAAGTGGAAACTTTGTTTTTGCAGTGCTAAGGATAGACAAATGCTCTATAACTGTCTCATTCCCAGTACTTCTGTGAGCAAATTTGTACAATACCATTTTCCAATAAAAATGAATATGTAGATTTGCAGTCTGTCTTTTTTGATAATTAACAAAATGTTTATTACTATTAACTAAAATGCCTATTAACATGTTCAATACTTAGAAATTCCATAGTAATCAATTCTTTTGCTTTAAGTGAACCTGATTATTTGCTATGAAAACTGGCTCTATTAAGACACATACTGAATAAAAAAACCTCAGGAAGACAGCTACAGTTTATTGTCTTGTAAAGTAAAAACACACAGACAATTATTTCAAGTAATTATTTTAAATACTGTGGCTTCTTAGTACTGTGTCTAAGAACATCCTCACACACAAGGCCTTGCTACTTGTATGTGTGTGTGTGTGTAGTGTTCACAAACACATACGTGCACACACTAGTCCTGGAACTTGAACTCAAGGCATCAATGCTATCCTCGAGCTTTGTGTTCAAAGATAGCACTTTACCACTTCTGTCTTTTTGGTGGTTAACTGGAGATAGGAGTCTAAGGACTTTCCTGCCAAGGTTGGCTTCAAACTCTAACACTCAGATCTCAGCCTCCTGAGTAGATAGGATTACACCTGTGAGCCACTAGTGCCCAGTGCCTCTCTACCTTTTAAGAGGTGTCCAACCAGTGCAAAGTTGAAATTTGAGTTGAAGTTGAGTCCAACAAAATGATCCATCTGCTTGCAGTGCCACTCCAGAGGATTCCGGGTTGCCATGAACACTTCTTCTGGACTCTAGTAAAAACAATCATGAGATGGTTCATGGGTTCCCACAAAAGCTGTTTTCACTGTTTATAATACTAGGGATTGAACTCAGTGCCTCAATGCTAGATAGGCTTTTTACCACTGGGCTCTATCCTCAACCCACCAGCTATCTTTAGAAGATCACTTAGTACTTAGTTTGGTTTTGGTTTGCCTCGAACAGTTATGATGAGATAAGTAGTTAGTCCTTCCAAATTGAGAAATTATTTTCAGACTACAGGAAACCACAGAAGAACATGTAAGGATATACATATTAGTTGGTACAAGAAAATGGATAATCAAAGATGAAAAAGTTTTAATATACAATAAACAATATTTGACTCTTGATTGACATCATGGTGAATTTTTTCTGATTTTTTTTTCTCTTACCAGGCTAGTCTTGGGGACTCTAGCTTGATAATTTTTGTGTGTGTGTGTGGGGGGGGGGGGATGCCAGTCCTAGGGCTTGATTTCAGGGCCTGGGCTCTATCCCCGAGGTATTTTTGTTCAAAGCTAGTGCACTACTAGAGACACAGCTATACTTCCAGCTCTTTGATGGTTAATTAGAGATAACTAGAGAATATCACAAACTTTCCTGCCTGGGAAAGGCAGCTTTGAATGGAGAGCCTTAGATCTCAGCCTCCTGAGTAGCAAGGCTTATAGGTGTGAGCCACTGATACCTGGCTGCCTGATGACTTTTAAGAAGCTCTATCAAGTCTGATTCCAAGTAGCTTGGTGCCTAGGAATCATGATCAATTCCTCTGTTGGGATGTTCTGGCAACAAAAATGCCAACATAGCTATTTCTAAGATTTGCAAATTTGCAAATATTTTTAACATGAAAATGACTTATCTTTGTCCTAAGACAACTCCAGCAAAGAGGACTTTTAGGCAAGAATGATTCTAATCCCAAACCAGATATATAAAATAAACCAGTCATTCAGCTTGTTTTGCTCATTTCTTTTCATAAAATAGAAGTCTGAATGATAAACTTCAAAGTACCTTCTACCTTTAATACTTTGTTTCCACACTTCCCAGACTTCCAGCTGTGTTAAGTCTAATACTATATCAGATATAAACACTCTTTAACCAAATTTCTTCATACTTCAAACCACGCTGTTTCTTTTTATCCAGAGCTTAGTTAATTTCATGTTAACTTATATATTCACATTCTTTATAAAAATTTATTTTCTCCTAGACTATTCCCAGTTTTTGCCAACAATAAAAGGAGGGTAATTTTGTACTGTTTAAATTCTTCTATGATTGGAACCCAAATCCAACCCCAACCAAAGTTAATAAATGTTAGGGGGGGATGTACCTAATAGAACACATTAAAGCAAAACTAAGTATAAGAAACAAAAAAAATTCTAAATTAACTTTCCAAAGTCCTCTTTCACATCTCTAATTTCTTCATCTGCTATTAACTATACCAGGTTTTCATTAAATAGTATTATTCAACCAAATAAGTGTCTTCACTTGTGAAATGGGGCTGGAAAGTGCTAATTCTACCTTAGTGTTCTAAAAATGACAATGAATGAACTTGAAGTGCTAGGGACCCAGCAGGGTAGGTAGGTGATACTACTCGGTATTGTCCCTCTTCTATGGACTAGCATCAGGTCAATACTGCGCATGGCAATTTTTTATGTAGGAAATATAAAAATATTAAACTGTTAAACAGTTTTTTTATAAGCTGGTAAGGAACTATATTCATAAGAAATTATCAGTACAACTGGGGACCAGTGGCTCATGCCTGTATTCCTACCTACTGAGGAGGCTGAGATCTGAGGATCACAGTTCAAAGCCAGCAAAGGCAGGGCAGTCTATGAGACTTTCATCTCCAATTAATCACAAAAAAAGTCAAAGTGGCACTCTGGTTTAAATGGTAGAGTGCTAGTCTTAAGCAAAATAAGGAGTCTAGTGGCTGGGACTGTAGCTTAGAGGTAGAATGCTTGCCTAGCAAGCATGAAGCCCTAGGTTTAATTCCTCAGTACCACATAAAGAGAAAAAGTAGGAAGTGGCACTGTGGCTCAAATGGTAGAGTGCTAGCCTTGATCAAAAGAAGATCAGGGACAGTGCCCAGGCCCTTAGTTCAAGTCCTAGGACTGGCAAAAAAAAACCCAAAAAACAAGAAATTATCAGTATAAATATTCATATTTAACTTATACGCTATATTTTTAGTTTTGATCTTAAAGAGTAATAAAAGGAAAAAGTAGTATTGGGGGTGTAGCTCAAGTGGAGCACCTACCCAGCAAACGTGAAAAAAGGAGAACTGGGTAGGGATGCTTACTTTGTCGTTGAATATCCGGAGACTGTCTAAGGTGTGCAGGTTTTGTTCCAAAAGTGCGGTGCCCGCTGAATACAAGTTTACCTCATCCAGCTGCAGCACAGCCACAGCAACCCAAAAGAGGGCTTTGTGCAGAGGAGAGTCCTGACAAAAGAGACATGTTCCAGATAAGAGATACGAAACATGAAAATCTCATTCATGCATGTTTCAGCCTTCAACAGTGCATATGTTACCTTAACCAAATTCCCTATGTTTTTACTTTTTTAGTGAAGGTAAATAGTTAAAGGCCTTGTTTTTTTGTCCTGGTGCACTGGTAGCTAAGGCTAAGAACCTTACTTAGCATTTTTTCTTGATTTCTACTTGTTCTGGGCACCCAATTTAGTCACCAAGCTTTGTTGATTCTTCTAGAGTAGTCTTTTTTGCATTTGCCACTTCTTTAGCAGCAATGACACTATCCCAAGCTTTTTTATTCTAAATGTGGATTGTTTTATATATGTACATATTTTTGGTGATATTGACGATGGAACCCAGGGTCTTGAGCATGTGAGGTAATTTACACTACCATGTGAGCTATACTCTCTATATAGACTTTCTGCCTGCACTTTCAATCCAAACCATTGTATACTCAACCACTAGAATGATGTAAGTCCTGCTTTTTGTCATATTACCTGTCTGCTAGACAGTGGCATATTTTCAAACTCCTTCCTAAAGAGGGTTTATGTTAGATCATACCTGCCCTCTGCTTTCTATCCCTGCTAGACTGTTCTCCTTATCATCTTACCCTTATCACTGATTTTTTTCTCTAGTCCTACTGCTGGACCTTTCACTTTCTTTCTTTCTATCCTTACTATATTCTATCTATGTCCAACTTTAGTTAAAATTTACCTCTCAACATTATGTCACTCTCAGTAAAATAATCTCTTGCTTCTTTGAATTAATCCCTACTTCACACACGGGTATGTGGAAAAAACATATGGACTTTAGAGTCAGCCTTGGATTAGAATCATGTTTGGTTTTTTTTGTGTCAGTAACAGGGCTTAAACTCAGTTACTTGTGTTTTCAACCAAGGCTGGTATTCTTCCATTTAAGCCCTTCCAGTTTGGCTTTTTGGTAGTTAATTGGAGATAAGTATCTCATGGACTTCCCTTCCCAGGCTGACTTCAAACCACAATCCTCAGATCTCAGTATCTTAAGTAGCTAGGATAGAAAGTTTCTGAACTACTGGTGCCTGGCTAGAGTCATGGTTCTTTTATTAACTATGTAACTAGTTCCCTCTCCCCACCCCCACATGACTGAACACAGGGCACAGTGCATGCTAAGCAAGTGTACCCAAACTCTTCCTTTATCAGATCTACTTTTTCTAGCTTTACAGTTCTCTTCTGTAATGATCATTAATTAACATATTAAGTGTTTTATTTACTGTATTATTTGTCCATTCCTTAACCCTCATACAACCCCACAATGTAAGCTCTACAAACGCAGGCAATTTTATTGGCTTTGTTTAGTACTATGTGTATCTCTTAGCACCTAAGAAAGTACCTGGCACATGAGATGCTCTATTGATACCTTCTAGATGAAAGGATTAAGAGTTTGTATCTATAGTTATAAATATACATGCCATATAAATTATATATTTATATCTATACCTTTAGCACTGGTCAAAAAAATTACAAACACTTAATAATATACTCATTCTTCCTCTAATGCCTTCAAACAATTCAACTTTATGACAAGAAGTTTTACTTTTAACAATAACTTTTTCTTTCTTTTTTTTTTTGTTGGTCGTAGGTCTTGAACTCTGGGCGTGGGCACTGTCCCTCAGCTCTTCAGCTCAAGGCTAGCAATCTACCACTTGACCATAGCACTACTTCCGGCTTTTTCTGTTTATGTGGCACGGAGGAACTGAACCCAGGGCCTCATGCATGCAACGCAAACACTCTACCACTGAGCCACCCTCCCAGCCAATAACTTTTTCTTATTATCAGACCATCTCTATTTTCTGAATGTTTACCAGAAAAGGAACATGTAACACTGACAGCCAAAATGAATAAATTCAGTCATTTCCTCAATAATTACCTTATTAAGAAGTGGCTGTAATTTGGTTAGTGCTATTACTGTAGCTTCTATCAGAACTTGACTGTTGTAAGTATCAGGTCCTTTTAAGCAACTCTCAAGTGCCTTTCAGGAAAACAGAATAATTTATTTTACTTTCATTGAAAACAGAATCTCAGAAGCATGTGAGAAACATTTACTTATTTGATAATTATTACAATAATTTAAAATACAATGGTAATCACTGCATATTTAGTTTCTTATTTTTACACGTAATTCTATATTACATCTTGGTAAGTAAGGATTATTATAATTACAAATGATACAGTTTTACTTAAGTATACATAATTATCATATAATTAAAAGCTTTGAAAACTGATAAAATACTAAGGATATCAGCTTTACAAAAAAACAAAACATTTTCTTAAAGACTTTTTTTGGGGGGAGGAGGGGTCCGGTCATGGGGCCTGGGCGCTGTCCCTCAGCTCTAGCTCAAGGCTAGTGCTCTACCACTTGAGCCACAGCGCCACTTCCGGCTTTCTTCTTTTGTTGCTTATGTGGTGATGAGGAATCAAACCCAGGGCCTCATGCATGCAGGGCAAGTGCTCTACCACTCAGCCACCTTCCGTGTGTGTGTGTGTGTGTGTGTGTGTGTGTGTGTGTGTGTGTGTGTGTGTGTGTGTG